CTCTGTGATATGATTCTTTTAGTTCTCTTGGAAAGATACCCAACAGAGGGATGGCTGGGTCAAATGGAACCTCTAATCCTAGTTCTTTGGGGTATCTCCATATTGACTTCCATAGTGGTTGCACCAGTCCGCACTCCCATCAACAATGGAGAAGTGTTCCTTTCTCCCCACAACTCCGCCAACATTTGTTATTGTGTGATTTCTTGATAGCAGCCATTCTTTGTGGGGTGAGGTGGAATCTCAGTGTTGTTTTCATCTGCATCTCTCTAATGACCAGTGATGTGGAGCACTTTTTCATATATTTACTTGCTGCTTTTAATTCTTTGGCTGAGAAATGTCTGTTCATTTCAGATGCCCATTTTAGAATTGGGTCTATATTTGGAGGGGGGGGTTGTTTTGAGTTCTTTATATATTTTAGATAATAGTCCTTTGTCTGAGGAACAGCTGGTAAAAAGTTTTTCCCACATTGTAGGTTGTCTCTTAGTTCTGTTGATGGTTTCTTTTGCATTGCAGAAGCTTTTTAATAAGATGAGATCCCAGTTGTTGATTCTATCTGCTAGTTCCCGTGCTACTGAGGATTTGTTCATAAAGTCTTTTCCTATGCCAATGTCTTCCAGAGCTCTGCCTAACATCTTCCAGCAAGTTTAGTGTTTCTGTTTTGCTTCATTCATTTTTATATCATTCATTCTACCCAGTACAAAAAATTGCCAATAATAAGTACTCATTTTGAGATGAAATGAAAGGCAACCCTAAGTTAAACAGAGCTATATATTTTAAATAAAACACTATATGCAATGTAAGTTAACTTTAATGCAAATTTTTCTTTAAGTGGAAAATTAGATAATACCAGCACTACTGCAAACCCGGTATTTTAAAGAATAGTAGAGGCAAGGTCCCTCCCGAGCATCTTGAGAACCCATATTCTTGGAGCACAAAATTGCTATATAGGAATACCCTCTCCCTTGCAAAAACAGAAAACAACTGTTTCACCCTCAAACATCCCTTCAGCACCTGCTGTATGCAAGTCATGGAGACAGGTGATGGGGGAGACATGGGATCCTCAAGTGTTGCCTGCAGCAGGCTGTAGGAATTCAGATGGGAAATTACGGCAGGGTGAGATTGGGCATATGGTCCGCCATTAGGGTCAAAGCCAGGGCTATAAGAAAACACAGAATTCCGAACTTGAGTTTAAATCCTCACTAGGTCTGAGGGCCTGGGCACGCTACCTTGTTTTCTCATCTGTGAAATGGGAGTAACACTATTACATTGCCTCACAGTTCTATTGGGAGATTCAGGAGTCTTATTAGGAGCACATGGTGGATGAGCACTCAGGAGGCTGAGGCAGGAGTACCGACTCAAGTTCAAGGCCAGCCTGGACTACACAGCAGGATCCTGTCAATAAATAAATAAATACAAACAAGAGCACATGTACAACATCAGTCCAGCACCCGGCACACAGGAAGAGCAACAGATGTTGGTCATTCCTATCCCTGCGGGGAGCGGGGCTTGGGTTGGGATGGGGAAGATCCAGACAGGCCGAATGCTATAAACTACATACAAATACATAGAAACAAGCATTCGAAATGCTGTAAGAACCATCCAATATACTCAGGGTTAAAATCAGAACTTTATAGACCAGGGATTTAGCTCAGTGGTTCCGTTGCCTGCCTTGCAAGTGCAAGGACCTGAGTTTGATCCCCGGTACCAAGAAAAGAAAAATCAGAACTTTATAGCTTTTATGGTTTAGATCAAGGATGGCCCCCTAAGTTCTCATGTGCTCAGAGGAAGGGGTTTGGGGGAATGTTGGGATCAGGAAGACACCATACTCATCAGTGGATTCATCCAGTGGTGAGTTAGACACAGTGTGTACAACTGGGAGGTGGGGCCTGGCCAAAAGGGGCACTCACTAGAGGCGTGGCCTAGCAGGGTGTAGCTCCCTCCTTGGCCTCTCCCTTGCTTCATCCTAGCTGCTAAACCTTCTTCCACCATGCCCTTCTACTATGCTGTTTCTGCCTTGAAGCCGGCTGACCACAGGCTAAAACACAAGCCCAAATAAACCTGTCCTGCTTTAAGTTGTGAGTGCCAGGTATTGTGTCTCAGCAACAAGAAATGACTAAACAATGGCCTGAAATTTTAAAAACTCTGTTAAAAAATGCTTTTGCCAAGTTAAAGTCCACACAGTGGCAAACTGCTGCATGTATTGTTAAGACATGTTAAAGATGTATTTGGTCCTTCTAAGTCTGGAACTTCACTGATTTGGTTATGGCTAGGTCTAATCACAGTGAATTTTTCATTAATAAATTTAACATCATCTAAATTGGACTTTTTTATTTACTATTTTAGTGGAAATTATGGCTGGAATAAGTACAGGAAGGGCTTCACAGAAAGGTCTAGCTTTTGTGAAGGTATGGAGAAAATACACACTGAAGCACTCTGAGTGTATAGCTCAGAGGTGGGTGTTCTTTCACTGAGGTGCAGAAGACAATCTTTCTTCACGAGGGACCACAGCACTCAGTTCTCCACTAAGTTCTCCTAGTCTTGATCTTGTGCTGGTCAGCCTTGTATTGTGATGCATTCCTGGGTTCACTGCAGTGATTGCTCCAGTCATTAGTTTCAGGCATGGTCTCCCAATGGTGCCATGCAGACTTCTTGAAAGCTGGCAGCCTCTCAAATGATTCACTAAAAAGCCTCCAAATAAATGACAGCACTGGTACCGGCTCCTATGGAATATAGTTTCAGATCTCCTTGAGAATATCTAGCATACAGATGA